GGGGGGGGGATGGGGGTGGGCAGACAGGTTCTGATAGAGGCTTTACTGAAGCACGACTGATCTCGGGTCCGGCGTTCATTGATGAGCGCCCGATAGCGAGTAATCACGAAGACAAAAGGATGCGCAGAGTCGTGAGCACGCAGTACATGCGCATAACGACTGTATGAGGCCCGTGATAGTCACACAGATGTTGGCCCGGTGTTAAAGAACTTGCTGATTGACAGTGGTAACTGTAATTGACACTTTCTAATGAAAGATGAATTCTAGAGACCTAGAATAAATAATCGCAAGCGCCAAACACAAAATTTAGAGGAACGTTAGCTCTTAGTCTAAATCTTTCGGCAGAATGGCAGATTCCGTAAGACAAACGTAGGCTTTCGATTGGCCATTAGCTAAGCGTTCTCTGCGACCAATCCGTACTCGAAGTTGCATGCGATGACGTGACCCACAAGCATTAAGCTTATCAGTTCAAGTATTACCCTCGATAAACACATACATTTTTCGATTTTTCTTCCATTTAACTCCTTGAATAGTGACGATTAGCTCACTTGTTGAAACGCTATAGTGTGAAAGCTATTTGGTCAATATAAAGTAAAAGTTCATTTGGAAGAAACTCGGTATAAGAACGCGATACTTTTGGCAATTTCGGTTCTGCTAAGGGTTACTTGGTGCATCTTAATCCGCTTAATTCAAACAAGCGTAAAGTGGGAAGAAATTCGGTTTCCTGAATAGGAATTTTACAAAGTGAGTTTTGTTCCCGAACAAAACAATAATCTATAGCGCTTCGACATAAATAGCTTTCAACCCAACCCCAGCAATCTCCATAGCACAAAATCCCCTTGAATAAGATTTCTCCCGAAATTGACAAACAGAAAATAGAGCCCACGGCATAGCGTACTCTTACTGGATGATTGGCCATTAATACCAAAAATGTTATTGCTCAGTACAAAAAAACCGATTGCTGATTTTAGCACTATGCACTCCATAAATTTCTCCATTTATACACTGAATACACTCAAAATATTTATTTTATTCATTTATATCAAATGTCAGGCGTTTTGATAGTAAAGCCTGACTGACTCAGAAATCTCTGTGGGAAATTCTCCAACATCTAGCTAGACCCCCAGAACCAGCTAAGCTATAGCCCAGCTATAAAGGAAACAGACGTGTAGCACGGAGCACGTTTATTCAGTACGAGTTTTGCGGATCAAGTGTTCACGCAGGAAGCTTAATCATGATCAGGATGGCGGATTAGGTTAAACAAACAGAGGTTAATGACTGATCACTGTTTGTACGGTCGCACCTCCCAATCCTGGCGTGCAGGCATGCGATGACGTCCCACAATACTCCTCCCCTAGAACGTTTGTAGGAAGCTGAAAAGTAAAGAAAATGCTCGATAATTAGTTAATGTACAAAATCAACTAGTTGAGAGGAGAAGGTAGATCTTCGGTCTTTGAGTAACAGGGTTCTGGGTAGAGGTGGGATAGGTGTTGGAACTGCTGAGACCGAACTGTTGGAGTTGGAGGCAGTAGGATTGTGGACTTCGTGCATGCTTGTGGACCTTGCCGGCTGAGCGAGTGAGGCAGTATTTGGTCCACTGACGAGCTTCCTGTTGGATGTTACTCCATATGCAATGATCGGTGTTCAACGTTCTTGTTGAACGGGTGTTTGGTTGCGACAATCCATGGTCGAAATCTTCCGGCGTGTGCTTGCCTGACAATCGGTGACGGCTTGCCGGTTGAAATACAGTTGTGAGTTGGAGTTTTGGGGACTTGTAAGGGTAGGCTTTCGAAGAGTAGCGTATTCAGGCTGTTATTTCCATTGGGTACAAGGACGAAGTTCTTGAGACTCGTAGAGATGGGCGTTCGAAACGCAACGTGCTCCGGCTGTTGCCTGTTTCTAAGGGCGTTCTGTGGGAGTCATAGCTAGTGAAAGGAGAGAGTCGGGGTGCCGTTTAGGTGCTGATCGTTCGCGGGAAGGAACCATCAGATGAGAAGAGCGATGTGAACAACAATCGCGTCGCCGATGAGAGATGGAGTCTCTGTTGTGCGGAAGTCAGGATCTGACTTGTCGTGAGAAACGGCAGTGGACGTAAGGTGATAATCATTCGAGCGGGAAGAGATCACCGAGGGAGTTGAGGAACGAGGAGAGAAAATCCCGATGCCAGTGAGAGATTGGTTCTCTGCTGAGCGATTAAAGTCAGGCTTTGGCAATCACGTCAGGGTCACCAATTTGTAGCGGATTGCTATCTTAGTAAAGCCTGGCCGACTCAGAAATCTCTATGGCAGATTCTCCAACATCTAGCTAGACTCCCAGAACTAGCTAAGCTATAGCCCAGCTATAAAGGAAACAGACGTGTAGCACGGAGCACGTTTATTCAGTACGAGTTTTGCGGATCAAGTGTTCACGCAGGAAGCTTAATCATGATCAGGATGGCGGATTAGGTTAAACAAACAGAGGTCAATGATTGGTCACTGATTGTACGATCGCACCTCCCAATCCTGGCATGCAGGCATGCGATGACGTGTCCCACAAGTCTTTTAGCCATCAAAGTGGGATAAATTCGAGAAGAGGGACAAAAGAGTGATTTACAAATGTAAAAGAGACAGACACAAAGGCAGAGATAAGGTAAGATGAGTATCGTGGTAGAAGTCGAATATTAGAAAAAAGGTGAGGTGAGTACTGTGAAATGGTCGAATATGGACAAAGGTGAGGTGAGTACTGTAAAAATAGTCGAATATTACATACAGTGGGGTCATGGTAGTTTGAAGTCAGAAGTCAACTTCCGAGTTAATTGACTTTTTGCCATATGAGTATACATTGTCCAGGGTGCACCACGTGGAGGTAAGTCTGTCGCGCACCCCTATACACCTATTTTTTTCTTATAAAGTTTTGAGAGTAGAAATTGGCAGCATTTCTCAATTGCTTGACATTTAGGTCTACTTATCCACCAATAAACCCCATTAACTTAGAGTCCTCAAAAGCATTACCTTGAGGATGATTTTCATGTTAACACATCAAAATAGCTGCCAGCATTATTTAGCTAGAGTTGGTTCGCCTTGTCAGAGATTCTCTTCATGTTTAATTTGTCATTTCCATAACTTAGAGCTGGTGTAAATCGGGAGCTAAAACTACATCTGAGCTATTCAGGAATGATTGAAACAGAGAAAAAGCACAAAAATAATTACACTACTGATATCATAAATAGATTATCTTCAAGAAAAAAGAAATAAGTATAACAAAGGTCACCCTTATGGCTCAGCAGAAGCTGTAAGGTAAGCTGAAACTAACACGACTTTTCATGGACAAAGGTGGGTGGCGTTTTCTTTGTTGAAATTTGGTCGCATGAAATACCAAGGCAATTCGCTGAACCAGCTGTTTCCACGATATGGCTTATAAGGACGTAAAGCTGATAATGGGCACTCTTTCCTACCCATACTTTATCCGAACAAATTTGTGAACAAGGAAACCCCAGACCCAATTCAGTAAAAGAGCTTTCTACCACTTTTATGGCACTCAAAACTTAAAGCATATCATGCCACCGAATTGAGTAGACTGAAAATGTCGATCTACTTTAGATATAAAAAGAAGGAGGATATTCGAGAGGGCCTTCTTCAGACATTGTTAGCAGACATAACATAAGCAGGCGTTGCAAGGATGAAGAATAATGTTTTAAAATTAAATAGTGCTCGTTTTCGGTAATCTTTATTAATGAGCTACATACCATAACAATATCATGCCATAGCAGAACCGAAATCATCGACAGTATCTCGTTCTTATACCGAATTTCTTCCAAATGAACTTTTACTTTATATTGAACAAATGGCTTTCACACCTAAAGCATCACAGCACGTGAGTTAATCGTCACTACTCAATGTGTCAAATTAAAGAAAAGTCGAAAATGTGCGTGTTTATCGAGGCAAAATGTTTGAACTGATTACCTTAGTGCTTCATAAGGTTGGAATAATTATTATTAAACAAGTCAACAATGTCTCGGATAAACACCACCAAGTTTAATTGTGTAGTTACGTGTTTATTAACATCTATATAAATTAAAATAAGTCCAAACAAGAATGCGAGTGCAAATGAACTAAAAAAACAAGTATAAACGAACGCGTAAGCAAATGATTAAAATTTAAATAACGAAGAAATCCTATGCGCACTCTAACAGATTAGGTGTACTCAATAGATCCTGAATGGTTTAACAAACCTATCATTGTACTTTTACGACTAGGCTCTGTGACGAAAAGCGTAACCCACGTCATACGCCTGCTTCCTCTATAGTTTTGCGTTTGCATGGCAAGTTCAGGTAGCCTTCAGTAACTAGGAGATCTTGCAATAGAGATTGCTAAGCATATGTCAAGACTGATTAGCGTAAAAATCCGCTACAAGAGCCAAAGGCCTGAACATATTCAGAAAGTAAATCTATTTATTGTAAAGATAATACAAGGTATTCGATTTATGTACAAATAAAATTTTTGAAGCTTCATCAATTTTCAATCCAAATATGGTGACATTGTGTACAGGAATACTTAACGGTGCTGGGTTCATCTGCGGAACGAGTCTGCATTTCAATGAAATATGCCTTTTTGTTCCCACATTTGGGGCACGTTTCTTCAATTGTCGCAGCATTGCTGTAGGCATCGTCGGTGGAAAAAATGGCATCCTCCTCAAGGCGTAGCCTCAGATCTGCGTGAGGAATGTGATCCTGAGATATAACACCATTTACAAACCATTGATAAGCGCAACTAGGTTCCGTACAACTTAAGGCATAGCAACTAGAAGACTGTTCAATCGACAAAAGCGAGTCACACACGGGACAGAATAAAACAGGCATTTCGTTAAATAAACGTGACCTAACTGAAAGGCAATTGGACGACAAGATATTTTAAATAACAAACCCTTGAGGAAATCATTTAAACATTTTAAATTGCGGAATTTGTGACATGACTAAGACATTTGTAATAGGGTTCGATTTTTATTAAATTTTATAACAATGGAGGTAATTAGCCACGATTAAAGCTTTAGTTTTAATAATAAATTATAGATCCCGAATAGTGATCGTTAATAGGGCAAAAAAAATTTAGTTCAGTAAAGCTTGGGCAAATGCCTTTTTTATGATTTATTTTTAAGGCCCATTAATTTTCTTGATAAAACAATGAATTTTATGTTTTAATATCAAATCTGTTGTGTGTATTTCAGGCTTATCAAAATTTGTGAAATATTCATATTCAAATTTAGGTAATTAATTTGAAATCTTGAAATTCAGGAGACGAAATTTTAACTCGCAAGGTTGAAATAGATTCACGTAAATACTACCGATTGATGTTTACTTTGGATGGCCGTGAATATATATACGAGGAATGTGTCGTTCATGAAATCATATGGATTGAAGATTACCACTCAGCAATTTCAGTATTGTAATCATAAATAGTTTCAACAATTTATGAAATTATATGTCCTTCATCGCGATATCCGGGTAGATGTGAAACATTAAAGTGAAAAATAAGTCGATAGTGGGGTGGACAGAAGAGAGTTTCAAAGATAAAAATGAGGCAGACATGGAGGTAAAAAAATGTGGGGTGATTGCTGTGAAAGAGCTCGAACAATTATTATAGTGGGGTGATGGTAGTTTGAAGTCAGAAGTCAACTGCCGGTTAATAGACTTTTTGCCCTATGGATATACATTGCTCAGGATACACCACGTGTAGGTAAGTCTACTGCACACCTCTTTTATGCAAATATAATCGTCTTCCCTCTTGAACACAGGATCGCATTCTATGTTTAGCACCATTGACTGTCGCGCTCAATGAGGACTA